GCCAAATTTATGTTTCCAAAGATTATTTAGAACACATGAACGCAGTGAAATTCCCTACATATAAAGTACAAAAGAAAAGCTAACTATACTTGAAAGTTCTCTCATTTGTGAAAGCATAAGATTTTCAGGCAATTGCTTTTGGCAATACTTTTCTGTCAGGCATCATATGTATATAAGCATCCCTGAGACATTCCCAGTCCACCATCTTAACATGGGGTGCACAGTGCCAGACCACCATGGCCAACTGACATCCAAACAAATCACTTAAGTAAAAATATTGCAACATGCATGTATATTAATATCCTAGGGAGCGACGCGCGTGTGTGCCTTATGAGGAAGACAAAGGGTTGTCTCCGCTCGATCACTGGTGAACCGGTCACGCCATTACCGCTGGTTTTGAATACATCTAATTCCTGGCCTCGTCGATACGACGTCTCTTCTTTTCCGTAACATATTTGGTGGAGGTGGAACATTCCCCGTCTTCACCAAGAAGCTTCACAGTGGCCGCATCGTTCAGTCTCCGGCCATGGCTACCAATGACAACAACCCGTCAGCATCTCCATTCATAGCTCCAGCCACTACATACCTGATGATGCCCACCCCCCGTGATCCCGGTACATTCTCCGCACAACCTGGGCTTGACGATGACTACTGGCTCCATATGTACGAGCGTGTTAGCCAGACACACCGATGGGACCCTACCATGATGCTCGCCAATGTAATATTTTACTTGGACAGCACTCCACGTGTCTGGTTCGACGTCCATGAGACCGAGCTCACCAGCTGGGATACCTTCAAGGAGAGACTACGCGACATCTTTGGGGACACGTCCGGTTGCCAAATAAAAGCGCGAAAAGAACTCGCCACTCGTGTGCAGTCCTCAACTGAGTCGTACGTCTCCTACATACAGGACGTGCTCGCGTTGTGCCAAAAAGTGGATGAGCAAATGACAGCGTGTGACAAGGTGGGCCACATACTCAAGGGCATCGCGGACGACGCATTCAACTTGCTTGTGTACACCAGTGTCACGACCGTAGATATGATTATCAAGGGATGCCACCGCTTCGAAATGGCCAAAAGCCGTCGTGTTCTGCCTCAATTTACACGGCTACCAAACACGGCTGTTACATCAACCTGCACCGATCTCGGTGCCGCACTACCCATGCAGGACAGCGTGACACGAATACTTCAACGGGAGCTTGAGGCGTCAAGTCCGGCACCATTTCCTCCACATCCGCTCGACCATGGCGCCGCACAAATGCCTCCGGCGGTCTCAGTTATACAAGCCGCCGTGAGGCAGGAAATTGCAAAGCTCGGTTTTCCTGTGGCCTGCTCTGCTTCCTGACCCACTTCCAGACGAATGACAACAAATGCACCACGTCATGGCTCACATTTTCTTCCGTGATCCCGCAATCCAACGGAATGGAGAACTGCAGATGACAGACCGATCTGCTTCCGCTGCCACCGAGTTGGCCATATCTCCCACTACTGCCGCAGCACTTGGACGCTTTCAAACTGGAGCCCATTTTCCTCTTCTCGCCCATACGAGGACTCCCGTCGCTATTCGCCCAGTCGTGTGTACCCTATTTTTGACGTCCCCATCAGCCACTCTACCGCTCGTTCGTCGTCACCTCAACGTTGCCGTTCCCCATAGCCCCAACCAAGCCGCTATTCGTCGCGGTCAACTATGGATCCTTTCGGACAGAAAACTAGACTATGCAGCTCCGGGAGGGTAGTGCTGCATCAATTCCAACTGATCCAAATCCTCCGTTGATGCTCACCACTACTACAAACTTGATTGAGGTGTATAAGCACGGCATTTCTTTGACTGCGTTAGTTGATAGCGGATCTCAAATGTCCATAATGAGTGCTCACCTGTGTCGCCTACTCAAAAAAGTCCTCACACCTGCAGCGACTAAAGCCCTTCGTGTAGCTGATGATGGAACTGTGGCCATCACTGGAATGTGTACCGCTCGTGTTAGCATTGCCGGCCGCCATGTGCCCGGTTTGTTTACGGTGCTTGAAAATTGCCCTCACGACCTAATCTTCGGCATGGTCTTCCTATTGACGCATTCTGCCCTGATCGATTGTGCCGCCGGTACTCTCTGCCTAGAATTTCCTCTTCTCCCGAATTCCCAGCCTGGACTCCCGAACAGCCTGTGCACCACTTACTTCTTCTGGATACCGCCTAAAGCTCTCACATTTGTTGAATTGGCAACACCCTCTCCCGTACTTGACGGTGATTATATCGTGATGCCGATTACTGATGTTCTCCTGGCGCGTGACGTTACTGTCCCACACTCCGCCGTAAGCATGGCCTCTAACCGAACATATCTACCTGTTATCGATTTCGGTTTCACAAGTGCTACCCCAAGGAATTTCGGTCACCACGCTAAGACCCTTAATTGACGACCATGTCACCTGTTTTACGGCAGACGTATGTCCCGATCACACGCATCACTCGCAGATACCACGTGCCTCGATGCGACCTTACGCTCCATGATCGCCCTGGACCTCAAACCTGAGTAGTCAGCCGCGCTATGCCGCCTTCAGGTTTCATACCGCGACATATTCGAGATCGACAGCCATCCACTCGGCCAGACTTCACTCGTCAAGCACCACATTAACACAGGTGAGTCTCATCCCATTCATCGGCGACCATACCTGGTGTCTCTCACCGAGCGTAAAGTAATTCAACAAGAAGTCACCAAGATGCTAGCCAAAGGAATTATCCAAAGGAATTAGCCAAAGGTATGACTACGTCATACCACCCGCAAACCAATGGACTCATGGAGCATCTAAATCGAACTCTTACAGACATGCTCGCTAAGTATGTTTCTATCAACCACACCGACTAGGATCTCGCGTTGCCGCCCGTCACATTTGCCCACAATTCTTCGCGCCATGACACTGCTTGTTACTCTCCATTTTTTTCTGCTGTTTGGCCGAGAACCGACATTGCCTCTAACACTGTCATACCGTCCCGTCCCCGGCAGTACCGACCAGTGAATATGCCATGGACGCTATCATTCGGGCTGCTCACGCACGCGAAATCACCCGTACTCGCATTCTGACCTCTCAAGAAAAGTAACGACGTTTGTATGATTAACGACACCGCGACGTACACTTTCCGCCCGGTTCTTTGGTCCTGCTCTGGTCTCCGACCTGACAAGTTGGCTTGTCAGAAAAACTGCTTACTCACTACACAGGTCCATACAGAATCCTTTGTGTAGTTACTCCTGTAACATATAAAATTGGTCCTGCCACCCCGTCGCCTTCATGTGCCCGACAGGCTACCGATATTGTACATGTTGCGTGCTTGAAGCCCTACAATTCTCCTAGTGACTTTGACATTTAGATGCGCCGAGACGGCGCTTTTGCCGCCGGGGATTATGCTACATGCATGTATATTGATATCCTAGGGGGCGACGCGTGTGTGTGCCTGATGAGGAAGACGAAGGGTTGTCTCCGCTCGATCGCTGGTGAACCGGTCATGCCATTGCCGCTAGCTTTAAATACATCTAATCCACAGCCTCGTCGATACGGCGTCTCTTCTTTTCCGTACCAATATCACCAAAAGTGATCGCCTCAGAATACTGCCACGCTTGTTATTTTTATGAGCTGGGTTTACACCCACAAACATTCTGAGCAATATTCGGCACAGATTGCGCCTCAGTGTTCAAGAAGCTTTACATTTGTTGTAGATGATTCTGTTAAGATTGCGCACAGGACGCGAACACCCAAGATTATACCATAGCTTGCGCGACCATCGGTAATAAGGCTGGAAATTGTATAGATGGCTTGCACTGACATCACTGAAAGCATCATGCTAAAGCACCAGCATGTCGGAACACGTTTCCGATCTCACATTGATGCTATCAAAGCTCCACATGCAAGTTATTTCATTATTCACACACAGAGACGTTCCCGACACATTTTTATACAGACACAACTTGTTTCTCATAAAGCCACCATCATGGAGTCCCAATTCTTTTCAAAAGCTCTGTCCATGACATCACGTGCAAGCCATCCTTAAAAAACAACGTGTCTCAGTGATGACCAGTTGATCGACAGCCGAAGCTCTGTTAGCCACTATCAGTGCCACTGTGTGTTGCTGTAATTTGACTTTCCACTTACCGGCCTCAAGCTTAGCCAGATAAAGAGCTTCACCTGAACATTCAGTCTGCTCCCTTCATCCACATCACAACCTCATAACAATACAGTACTAGATTGGGTGTGAAATTGGTTGAATTTAAGTTCGTATGAGCTCAGAACAATATACACATTGGTGTAGTATATCTCAATACCATTGTATCAGTTCTTTTCGCTTGAGCTAAGTGAGTATGAATACACAACTCAGACTGTAGTTCTTGATAGACGTCTGAAGTAAATATTAGTTAACCCCTTCACCATTCCAGACGAGCAGAGCTCATCCTTGCAGAACTGTGCCCAAACTGCTTTGGACAGGTGTAGCTCGTCCATATGAGCTATTATCTCCCCATGAGCATTTTGAACAAAACTGACTTATTTACGAGCTAGTTCATGTGTCACTTTACAAATGGCAACATTTGCTTGGCAATTTTTTTCATTTTAACTGCCATTTCAAATTTTTTCGTGACATATGTTTAGAAAATGTTGCCCAGCGAAGGCGACATGTACATTGCTTGAGCTTAATCACGGTAAAGAGGCCTTTCGTTATCGCACAGCTCCTCAGGCACTAATTATTCAAATACTGAAGTTTACTTTGATGACTTCACATGTTGAGTTTGCCAGATTCTCAACAAAGGCATTATTTCGCAAATAATGACAGACACTAGTAGGCCGCGGGACAATAAACTTCATTATTTTAATTTGAGTGAATATTTGCATGATTTTTTTTACTCGATACCAAAATTCTAAAAAAGAAACATTTAAACAGAAAATCTCTTAAAAAATACAATTTAAGGGTGAATGCTGTCACTCTAACAGTCACCCAAAAAGGCACACTTTTGGTGACTTACCTGTGACGCAACACGGCGGCATATGTGGAGAAACGTTCATAGCATTCAAAACAGCGAAAAATGGGAGCTGGCAGGTGGACCTCTAGTAGGTGGTCTTTGAGCCCCTCTACGCTGTCTAAAGTCAGGTCACAGAAGCTGCATTCCTGTGGTTGGTTTTCTTCCGATAGGCGGTGTACCTGTCATTCCAGCACATTATGCGTGTAAGCAAAGCCTGCTATGATGACACAATTAGGCACACCGTAGATTCCAAATGCTAAGCATTTGGACAAACCCCTTGCACTCTGTGTTTCCTTAAGGGGGGACGCGGCTTTGGCATCGCGAAATTTGGCCAAAAAATCGATTTTCTGAAAATTCGAAATTTCGTCCCTGACAACAGCGTAGAAATGACGTAAAAAATTTTTATCGAAGCTAGGGTGTCGATGAATTTCACGAAAATTGCGAAAAAACGGCGTTTTTCGAACCGCGATATCTCCGCAACCACGTAACCTAGCGCCGCCATCTTTGTCTCTATGGATAGCGCGATTCTTCCGTTTCAAATTTGCCGCCTCGGCCGGCTGAACCAGGCAAGAGCAAGCCCACAGCATGCCAAAGTGTAAAGGTATGACAACAGTTTCCGATTGGCGACGCGCGTCACGTGACTGTACGGCGGCTCCGCATTGGTCGCCCGTGCGGTCGCTTGTAGCAATCGGCGCAAATGTCGTCTGCTCTACGCACTGACAGCGCTGACGGGCCGCTTACTGCATTTGTTTTCAACTCGTCACGGCGTGGTTTCGTGCGGTCGCTTGTAGCAATCGGCGCAAAGGTCGGGTGCTCTACGCGCTGACAGCCCTGACGGGCCGCTTACTGCATTTGGTTTCAACTCGTCACGGCATGGTTTCGAGATCGCATCGCGCTGCGATAAGACCGGCGCTCGTGAAAGGAGAAAAACGTTGTTATCCAGTTTGGCGCATTGCAGTTTTGTGATCAGTTCCCGCATGCGATCATGGACCGGCGATCGTTCAAGAAGAAACGCAAGACTGCGCAACAATTTGGTGCTCGTAAGCCGAAGCCGCCGATCGTGAAAAAGAAATTCAGTCCGGCAACTTCTGCGAGCAGCGACGACGGCGTGCGGCACGACAAGGACTCGCAGCCGAGCACAAGCACGCACGGAACATCGTCCGCGAGCATCGACGAAACTGTTCATATGCCTGTGGAGCAGTGCTTTGTGCTGTCTGAGGAAACTACCGTTCGTCGTTCCGCGCAGGCTGCAGACATCGCGGATGCTAAGCCTAGCACTTCGCGCGAGGATGTATTCATCGCGGATGCCCAGCCAAGCACTTCGCGCGAGGATGTAGACGCCGCGGATGCTAAGCCTAGCACTTCGCGCGAAGATGTAGACATCGCGGATGCTCAGCCAAGTACTTCGCACAAGGATGCCAGGCCGTCTACCAGCACCACCAGTAGCCCGATTCGGACACTAGGGACCGCACTGCAAAGGACACTAAGGACTACAACCCTGGTGCCTATTAGGCATGTAAACCGTGACTCAAGACTTTGAACCTTGTTTTCTCAATACTGTTTTTTTGGCATGTTGCTCAGCTCGTGGAGCAGATATCTTCGCAACTACTTGACAGATTTTTATTCTGTTTTTTTTGTAATGCTCCTTGAACTGTGCTTCAGGGGGCTGCATTTTTATTTTTAAAATTTAGCCTTTTAAAAATTTTTGGTAGGGTTTTTTGTTTGTAGTGCAAATGTGCTCATTGAAGTATCAGTGGAGAAAACATGAACTACAAATTTTAGTGTTGCAAAAAAATTATTTTGAAAACGCAGCCTCCTAGAGCATACATTCACCTTTGCACACAGTGTTTACCAACTTTCTATGTCATTTTTTAAACTCTCCAGCCGCTCCACGAGGTCCAGTAATGAAATTATTTGTTTCTCAGAAAGTTTTTATGATATCATCCTGAAATTTTTAAGGAAGCATTATGAGGTCATTTTTAGTCTCTGTGCTGATTTTCATCAAGATCTAACCAGAAACAAGAAAGTTCGTTCCGAAAGGCACGTCCCCCCCTTAAGGAGGCACCAAAAGTAGGTATCGAGCTAGATAGGGCATCACAAAAGAGCAAAGAGAAAAATTATTTCGCCTGTACTAGCAAATTAGGCTAAACACTGATACTACCATAAAAAGACGCTGGTCAAGCCAGAAAACACAAAAAACATGGTGACGGCACAGTGCATTCTTGCACCAACTCACGGCGACATCATAAATTTTGATGGCCTCTTCCAGAGCCTATAGAATACATACCTTAATAGTAAAACTTAACATTGTGTTTTAAGGAAGCCAGAGATTCAGCATGCCAACTCTGGTTAGCCAGGGTGGCAAAGGTAAGATGCAAAGACACAGAAAGTCGTGGTGTCGCACACACATTCACTTTCAAGAATCTCAGCTCAAGATTAGAAAACAAAAGGTTTGAACTTTGCTTCCTTTTAATAACAAACCTATGGTCACAAAATTCACGACAATAAAGTTTTCAAAGAATAACCTAGCAGGTTAAACTGATTTAGTGTTTCCTTTTAGTGCCCCAAGGAATGCTACAGTGAAACCTTAAACCAATTTAGACTAATAATAAAGCTCTGTAAACTTTATTATTGTCAATTTCACTACCCTAGGTTTATTAACAGACGAGAAAGTCATGGTTAAGTTTCATTCCTAAATTTCTTGGCAAAATTTCCACAAGTGGCATCATTAGTCTAACAAAATGTTTTCAATTTTGGTATGCTATATCTCAGGCCCTCAAAGAGAATAATGCACTAAAAAATCACCAGTTATGAGTTATGTAGGCCCTAGTAGACGCCGTTAAAATCTACGACGTCACGGCCATTGGCACTCCAATTTCAATGTGGCTTCGTCATCATCATTTTGTTTGTGCACGTTTTCTTTCTTAGCAAACGTCTTTTTGCAGCAAGCAGGGTGATTTAGCTGTTGTGAAATATTAATATACAAATACGACAAAAATAGTTTTTCTCTTTAGGGTTGCTTTAAGATAAGCAGAATTCCTTAAATAAGAGGTCACAGCTCTGAATTATGAACCGCATGAGCCTTCTGTAATGCATAGGCACACTATATAGATTGCAACAAATCATCACACATTACCTCATTCAATGTACTACTTGCCTCATCTATAGCACACCTGAGAGCCATCCTACCTGAACTTGATGAATCAACATGTAAGCCTGATGAGCGAAGCGAGTCTGGCATGTTTCACATGTGCTCAAGGCGTGCTCCAGGTGATTTTCAGCATAATGGTCCGTCAGTATCTGATACCGGTGAGTGAAGAAATCACAGTACTCGCAGTTGAGCCGGTTCCATCTATTTTTCGATTCCTAAAACAGACAAAGAAAATGAAAAAGATTTCAGGATGGAGCTTTTAAATCACAGGGGTGGGACAGAGTACATGGGTTTGGGAGCAGTCCAGGGAGCAGGGAAAAGTACTTTTTGTAGCAGGCTTGGAGCAGCGAGAAAGACTATTTGAAGCAGGCTTGGAGTAGCCAAAAAAGCCTTCTTGAACAAGTTTAGAACAGTAAGAACATTCAGAGCAGGTCAGTACCGTTCAAAGCACTTTTCAAGCAACATCTGTTCAATGCTGCATTTTTGAAACACTCAGCTATAAATTATGCAATAACCTCATTATTGCGTTAGAAATTATATTAACACTCCCGAAGGTTATTGCCGTTGCCGTCTTGTCCCACATAAATTCCTAATTCATAACATACCCCCCCGCATCGTATGTTCTATCCGCAGTAAAAGCACGTGAGCGGGTCGACAAACACGTTTGAAGATAACATGAAATAATCCGGCCCATCTCCGCGGCTTGGAGATGGGTCTTTACTCCGATACCCCGTCCGGGAAGCCTGTAGTCGAAGCAGAAAGGCAGCATGCTGCCCGTCTTTGAAAAGCACGAAAAAAACAACTAGGGAGCCAGGGGGGTGGGGGGCAGGTGTCGCTCGAGCAGCAACTATGAACTTTTCTTCTAAAGGCGTGGTTGCGATCGCCAACACACACGCTAGCTTGGCAGCCATCAGAGAGCAGCTGGAGACTACGCGAAAAGTGTTGCCCTTCTTGAAAGAACCGTATTCTCGGATAGGGAGCTTGCATGAATGGCGGCGACGCTATGGACTCTGGGTAGGCAGCCATTTTTTTGTCAGAGGTGGCCGGGGAGTGCAGCAGAGCAATCGTGTTTGCGAGCGTTGGCATAGCATGCAGGCGTGATTGGGTGCGAGCGCGACGCAAATTTGACTCCAAGAAGTGTCGTGCACGATGTCAGCCTCACCGGAAGACTACATCGCACTGCTGTGCCAGAAAGACCTCGAGCGGTACGAAGAAGGGACGAGAATTTGCTCCGAGTTGACCCATTCACGCTTCGTGCCGGCGACTGTAAGCGACGTGCACTTGTGGCCGCGCGTCGACAGCTCCGATATTCATGAATTTTTCGTTTCGAGGACGAGTTTGAAAACCCGGGAGCAGATGAAGCCCAGAAAGACCCTCGAGGGTCACAACTTTGTGAAGAGTGGCCGGGTGAGGGAGCCGTGAGTGAAGAAAGTCGCCGCCTACACCGTGGTGGTCGTCGTTCAAGTAAGACGTGTTAAATTGAGGAGTGCTCTTCTCGTGCACTTGCGTCGTACTCCACGTATATATAGAATAACAGCACAGTGGGATGCGAGCAGGCTTCGCTGTTCCCGGCCATGCATGTGCAGTGTACGGCAAGAACTTTGCCAAGACGTCGACGAGGGCTTGTTAACACACTGGGGGTTTAACCTGAACAAAAAAAACGTTAGCATCTACAAAATCAAGTAATTTAACACCTCTTACTTTACAACGATTCCAGTATCGGCAGCAAATTTCTTCACCCACGGCTCCCACAACCAGCCACTCGTCACAAAGTTGTGGCCCTTGATTGCCTTTCTTAACTTCAACAGCTCCCGGGTAATCAAACTCGTCCTCGGAACGAGAAATTCATGAATATCGGAGCTGTCGATGCACGGCCGCAAGTGCACGTCGCTTACACAGTCACCCGCACAAAGCGAGAATGGGTCCACTCAGAGCAAACTCTCGTCTCTTCTCCGTACCGCTCAAGGTATTTCTGGCACAGCTTTGCGGTGTAGTCTTAAGGTTAAGCTGACATCGTGCACGACCATTCTTAAAGTTAAATTTGCGTCGCGCTCGCACTCGATCATGCCTGCAAACACGACTGCGCTGCTGCACTCCCTTAACACCTCTGACGAAAAAATGGCTGCCCAGCCAGAGTGCATAGCGTCACCGCCGTTCATGCAAGCTCCCTATACCAGCGTTTTGTGGAGTTACTGGAGATCAGATCTAAAAGGGTTAGCTGCCAGCCTCACTTCCTATCACATTAATTTCCCTGCTATCGCATCCATTGCTTCACCCTTGTGGTGCAAAAGCAATCTTTTAATTATATACAGATGCCCGTGTTTTTTTCTTTCTTATCTGAACTGGCGAGCGTCAACCGCTGAGTCGATAAGCGCTAAGCACAACGACCAAATGAACTAGATACGTGCGTACACACGATGAGCAGTTATGTGCACCTGTTGTTTCTAGGCTGTTCCGGACACCACCCCACTTTCTTTAGAGCCCCGTTACTGCCATCCATTACTTCTTTTCTGGACGCTGCCATCATGTTATAAAAGAACAGTTTCATTGGAATGGCAAGGCAGTGAATGCGATAGCAACAAGTTGTAAGGCTGGCAGCCAATTCTATTAAATCCGATATCGCGTTACTCCACAAAACGCTGGTAGAAGAAAATACGGCCATGCCAGGGAGAGATGCTCTTGTCGCAGTCTCATCGCGTCGAGAGTGCAGCACGTAGGAAGCTTCATGAGCTATTCGCGCTGATGCCTGCAGTGATCGCGCACACATGGAGATTGCGACTACTCCTTTAGGATCAAAGTAAACAGCTGCTCCTGAAGCGATCGCAGCCTTTATGAAATCGAAACTATAACTGTTTCGATGAAATCAAAAAGACAGTGTTTCATCTACGTCTTCGGGCATGGCGCTTGATGGCTTTTGCATTTTGCGGCTAAATTCTCGTGCTGTGGCGCAGTACGACACTGATAGGCGAGTTTGGCACAACAGGGGTGGTTGAGTGCAGGATTGTGCAGGTAAGCGAATTTGACGCATAATGGCGCAAGTGGTGCACCTGTTCCCACCCCTGAAATCACTGTACAGCCTTCTCTGAGCTCCTCGACAAAGACAAGTAATTTTTTTTAATAAAACAAAGCATGGACACGGTAGCAAAAGCCCCAGCGAGTGCTGTGCTCAATCATGTTAGCGATGCAGTAATCTGTTTTGTAGTAGGCTCCCTTCACATATATTGTGCATTATGGTAACCAGCAATGCATAGAAATTTGGCCTTCAGTTACTCCACAGACAGGAAACTGAATTTCGAGACACCATTACATGGTTTTAGAGGTTCGACTTAGAAAGTTCTCATTCAAACAAGCTGGACTTTTCAAAGCCCATTCAAGCAGCTGAAATTATCTCTAAACCGAGAGATTTCATATGATCGGAATACCGCAGTGTTTTCACTTGGTAGGTTTATAGGTTCCGGTCTAAGGCAGGTAGCCTTTGTCCAAAAGTTTTATTCAATCATATTTCAACACAACTCACAATATGTACAGTGCGTTATGTCACACAGAAGAAAAAAACAAGCACTACAAGACTAGGTAATCTATACAACACGTAAGATAAAGTGCTTGTGAAAAATTTCATACAGTGCATTGATACGAGGGTCCAAATGTTTGAGATTTCAAATATAAAAGCTATGCACCTTGATTATTCAGTGCACACATTATATTTGGCAACAAAGACACGAATCAATAGGTGTACAGAAGCGACTGCAGCCTTTCTACAGAACAATGTGCATTTTGAATTTTCTGATAAGCATTCCGGTTGCAAAAGCAATTCTGTTTTCTTTTTAACCAGACATCCATTCTGAAAGTTTAACATGACCGAATGCCTATGCTTGCGACAAAAGTAAGCGGACAGCCATATCAAGATTGACAAGACATAATGTAGTCTGACATACCGTCACATAAACTTTGACACCCTTTCCTTTTCCTTCTGCAAAAGAAAGTAGAGGCAGAAAATGAGAACTATAAAACTGCAGGCACTCTAATGCTTCAAAAACATTTTTCGAGATAGTCACGGGAAAGCACTGTAGGCCAGTAAGCTTTGCCAAGTTTTTGCAGGTATGAAAGCAAGATTGATTGACAAAAAAAAACAGTCAAGTAGTCCTTAAAGAATATATTATAACAGACGCACTCGTGAGGACATGTCATACTTATTTATGAGAATATCCTTGCATTTGGATAGCATAAGCTCAAGTTGATTTAGTAGTGCCAATATAATACCGATGCGATGATGTCTCAAAGTTACTTTTTGTCACGATTACGCCTTATGCGGATCTAATTCCTCAATCGTGGTTGGCTCTTTACTGCAAGCTGCACAAGAGATCCATACACGGTTTAAGAAATCTGAACCCAATCTGGCTGAATCGCGATCAGTGGCACACTGTGTCACATTGGTCAAAAGAATCTTGCTCTATAATGAGCAGCTGTCAGTAAAAAATGCCCATTTCTCAACATAACACTGCGGCCGTGAAAATATACTTTTACAAATGATTCACAATTTATCTTATTGATTCAGGGGATTCAATGGGTCAGCTTAACACTATTAGAGATGTCATGGGGGGCTTTCAGCCACTTAATCCCATTTGTACCTTTAACGCTAATCCAACGCCACTAACACAAGCACTTTTGCATTCCATCAATATTACGGCATAGCCACCACGGCTGGCAGTCATACCAGGAGCTCCTTGCTGAGCAGCTTAGCACTGTAGCTGCTGGGCTATCATAGTAGGTGACGTGCCAAGAGCACATTATTAGAAACATGCAACTAAACATGTCTTTCCTGAATCATCCATACGTCTGGCTCAATGCAGAAGTGCCAGCATCACTGAAAAAGTAAGCTTCCTTATCTCTACATTATCTTCACAACTACAGTTGGCATCTGGAGTTTTCTGCAAGCAATCGTTTATCTGAAATACACAACATAAAGGGACACTAAAGTCAATTAAGTTAAGTCAGAGTGAAAACCCAATGTAGTACAATGTCTAAAACAACAATATTATCAACAGCAGTGCCATGCTTACCAAGATATTAATGTAAATGCACGAGAACACATGCGCCCCGAGTAGGACATTCGCAAAATGATCTCGATGACATCAGACTTACCACCTACAATTAATCACTAGTAATCAGACTAGCTGCACTAAATAAAGAACCTTCCGTGCATCAAAGAACATAATAAAATGCTGCTTGTTCGTTTCTGTTTGATTCACGAAAAAAAGAACTGCCAGACGTTACCATAGGGAATGGCGTGAGTGGTTCAAAAGTTCAATTTTCACCTGGCTAAACTGGACAGGTCGTGCCATCTAACGGGACCCAGTAGAACCAAGCACACCTGCCATCTTGGAGGCCATGGCAGAATATTGTTCAATGGCTGTTGTTGCTGCTGTAGCTTTCGCTACTTTCGTTCTGCTGCTACTAGTGTCGGGGGCCACGCTGTAAAGCCGGGCAGCATTGTATTGTGCACGGCAACAGTGACGTGAAAGGTTCCACTTCAGGTTAGTAATTTGATGTGGGCTAACGCAATGCGGACCATTAAAAAATGGTTTTATTTCAAAATAAGCACTTTTTTGGCACAAAACTAGCACTATGAGGTTTCTAGACCGCTATTTCAGCAATCAACCTCGAGGTTACAGTCCCTTTAAACTTACTGCTGGATTGTCTTCTCTACTCAGACCCGACTAAGCATTGCAGCTACCGCCCTTGGGTGCAATCTCTACGCTGGAAGTAGATCACAGAACGCTGCCTTTGTTCCACTGCCAAGCCAAATGAGTTGAATGTGGCATTGTATTCACTTGGTTTCTTTGTAATGTCGCAGCAGTGCGAGCTACATGCTAACTTCAAAAATGTGAAGCCAGATCTCTTCAATGGTTGAGTACATACGAAATATCCGTGGAAGATATCGCAAGCTATGCATAGTTAAAACTGTCATATATGTGAAGTATAGATCAATTGCCCCCCTCTTTTTTTATATTTAATGCAAGTGCCCTGAGGAACTGTCATTGCATATAGGGTGATGCAAAAACAATAAATGAAAGAACAATATGAATAGGAGGCAACAAAAAGACAATACAAAAAGAAAAAAATCTAGAGCTTTGACAATGACAATGGCATGAGTGCAGTTTATATCACGCACACCTGGTGACAAGCAGAATAAAAATAGTAAGGATATGTAAAAATTTACTATACTAATATACTATTTGAAAAGACAATATGACTGAGGACAATTATATTATCTCACGATTTATAACTTTGAAACCTCCTCATGCATATCTACCTACATATCTACAATATCTGCATATCTACCCTTTTGATGTGACTAATCGAGATTGATTGATTGATTGAATAGACAGGAATTTCCTGAATGCAAGTGCTAGATGGTCATTGGTGCCACACATGTAAACAGCACCACTACAAGCAGAACAAAATTAAGGCAAGGCCAACAACTTCACTTACTGCGCGCGCAGATGGAGCGGTGCTTGTAGAATACAGTGTCGACAAAGAACCGTTTCGGGCAGTGGGGGCACTTGAGGGGTGCATTGCTAATGTGCTTGCGTCTCAAGTGGACCTGCAAGGCTGCCTGTAAAAAATGTGCCCTTTCACCTCATGAATCTGTTCTAAAGCATATGAAACACATTGCAATGATGGCCTAATGCAACAGGCCCACAATGACAGGCACTTAATTAGTATTGTGTGCATTTAGTGGTGTTCAATACTATTTATCAAAAAAAAGCAGTTTACTAATAATATGTACAGTGGTGATGGTTTGAAAGGCCCAGCCTTAGTCTAACAGATTGATGGTTTTGCAAACGTGCAAAAACTGCTAGCATAGCAAAAAAAAAAGCACAAACTCTTTATGATTGGCTTATTAAGAGGAATATTGAAATGAGCAACAGCTCAGGAGGTACAGAGCAAAGCATCATGTCACAATAAATGGCAGACTGCAGCCAAAAGTCTCCCAAGTGACAGTGTACAATGATAACCCTATGAAGCCAAAGAAAGCATAGCATACACTATTCATTGATATTATTCGTTAGAGTAATAATTATGAGACAATGTAAAGTGAAAGTAAACATGAAAGTAGACGGAAAAAAAAAATTGCCAACACTGGAAACTGAACCCATAACCTCTGCAACTAGAAATTAGACCTTTCAGATCACACGAGTTCAGTCCTTGCGAGCGGCAAGCTGTCTTTCGGTCCACTTTACTGTCATCACGTTTATATCACTGTCATTACAGTACAATTAATGCTCCCTATACTTTCGTTGGGTTCACTAGATGCTGGTTTTCATTAAAGGGGTACTGACACCTTCTTTCAGAGCAGTGCTTGCTCTGCCATACAAATCTATTGTACACAGAGACGGCTCTCAGCAAGTGTGACACTCGGCAAATGGTGATAAGGTATTTTATTTTGATATCAAAGTCAATTTGTTCATAGCACACCTACTGACATCGACACAAACTTGACGTCAGGATACAGTACTAATCCTGGTGACTTCACGCAGCAGTCTGGCTAATTGTGATTACATTAAGCACCAAAACAAAAAAATTTAGATTCCACGTTTCCATCTCGATCATGCGGTTACTGTCATTCAGCGTACTTGCGAAGCGAACTAGCAGAGTCTGGAATAGTGTACGAGCATGCGAGTACACGATATACACTGTTACACCTGGGAGTCCACACCGAACGTCAATGCCTCTGCAACGGCAGTCTGTGTCAAGGCCAGCAATAGAGCCCGCCTGACACGATTGACTCAACGACGCCATCAAGCGGCGACGCCGGTCTGTCACGCAACGTACAGCGAGCTCCATTAGCCCACGAGCCCGTTGAAGCAATCGGCGCCTTCCAGTCTGGCGAGTCTTACGCAATGCGTGGGAACGTCACTCGTCCTTGGCTGCAACCACGTGCAGCGGCTCCCGATTTGATGAGCATGACGCGGCCCAGCGGCGGGCCCCATTGGAGGATTCTGACATCACGGCCAGCGGCGCTTCTAGTTGGACGTTTGGTGACTCAAAGGATCCACCCGGTGCCTATAAAGAAAGCCCTGTGGCGCGTTGCCAGCAGTAGACCTATGCGTCAGTGAAGCCTCTCGATGCTTCGAGCCCTTTCGCAATCGGCGTGCCTGGTGTCCTTGGCAGCGGCGAGTTTCGTGGCTCCCTTCGTAACCTCATCGGCAATGCGCTTCGTAACAGAGAGAGAAACTGACGAATGCGTGCGAGAAGACATCTCGGATCTTCGAGTCTCTAAGCTGTCGGCCCCAGTGCCGAATTTGTAACGCCTCTATTTCTATGCTGTACATAAACCTTGCCCTAACTCACCGTCGTCTCGTCCGCTCGTCTATCAGCTCTGCGCAGAAGCAGTCGAGAGCTGAGAAACACACTCTACCAAACGGCTGGTGACGGTGTCAGCGGAGTTCGGAGCAGTGGCCCTTTTGGGACAGTGTTGGCGTCTCAGTTTCGTAACAACACTTACCAAAGGGCAAAATAATCGCTTTATTTTCAATTTGTCGTCACGGCATCAATATTTTGCCCTGTGAAGTCTTATGCCAATGAAACAGGGGACAATAGATGCAAGTTCCACTGATTACCGTTCAATCCAGCGCTCACATAAGCATGAGTCGACTTCATGCTTCGCAGCCAAAGCAGAGACTGGATGCCAACCAAGTGGAGTTTACTCTGTCTGCTGGACTTCACTCTAGGTGCGTACAAGCGGAACATGCAGTTGCTGACCGACTTTGGATTGTCGACGAAGAACTTGTGCCTTAAAAGTGATGCCATCCCAATGCCTTAAATGTGATGCCACCCCAATTGCTCGAAGTAGTCCAGGCAACCGCTGGGTCGCACAGAAACTAATCGTCTCTTCTGTATCTGCAGCACAACGGTATCTACCGGTACTGGTTCAGCGCATCGGTGTTGAGTGCAATCTGGGCTCTTCAAGGACTGTGCTGCTTCGCCGACCGGTAGAATCTGCTGGTTCTGATAACGGAGCAGCGAAAGTAGCGCCCTCTAAGACAATATCGACTGCACCAGCGTCCCTCACCGTGGTCGATGTCCATGGATGGGCTATAAAGCCAGTTCATGGAAAGAAAGCCGGAATTTGTTTGGAACAGTCCAGGCCGCCGGTGGGTCGCACAGAAACTAATCATCTCTTCTGTATCTGCAGGTGTGTACAAGTTACGTCTGTTCATGCCTAGAACATAAGAATTAGTGTTGCCTGGACTGCTCAGCGAGTGCTTTGATTGTGATGCGAGAGGTATGAGTAGTAAAGCTCCCACAACCGTCAAGGAACTTAACTTAGCATTAGCGGAGTTGAGCACTCGACTTGAAGCTAAAAATGACCAAGTGAAGGATGATTTCAGAACAATAATTTAAGCAGAGATACAACCAATAAGAGAGTCGATTGAGCATAAGCATGTCGCACTGAAAAAAAGAGCTGTTTAAACTAATTGAAAAAGAACTGAAACCCCTCATTGAAGCAATGAAATTCAGTAACAAGCAATTTGAGGAATTTAAATCGGAAATTGGCAACTTATAAAATGAAATTGCAATTGTCAGAACAGAAAAGAAAGTAATCGAGAACGATTTCAGGAGGCTCACAGATGAGCTAAGTGAAACAAAAAAAGAGCTAATTGAGCTACAACAGTACAGCCGCTGTAACAATGTGGAAATTAAAGGTGTCTCCATGCAAGACAGAGAGAATCTTGTAGCAGTAATCAAGACCATATCAACCCATCTGAAAGTCGATATAAATAAATCTGATCTCGAGGTGGTACCTCATGTACCAACCAGAGAAAAATTGCAATCGAACATCATTGCCAAGTTCACCTCGCGCATTCGCAGAGATAAGTTCATGAACGCCACGAAGAAACAAAGACTGACCACTTCAATCCTAGACTTTGAAGGTTCTACCCCGCTCTATATTAATGACCACTTATGTCCAGCTAATAAAATAGTTTCAGCAAGGCATTAAAGGCAAAGCGCGAAAACAATTGGAAGTTCACTTGGGTACCCGGCGGAAAAGTTCTCATGAGAAAATTCCCGTGTATTGCAGATAACGTGTGCAAATGATCTATCTAAAATTGTCTGAGCAATGATGTTTGATTTTTCAAGAATTGGCCAAGCTTGGCATGAGTACAATGATTTAGCTGTTATTCATTGCAACATTCCAAGTGCGCGAAAACACTAAGACCAATTTTGAGCTCATCTGTCGCGTCACTCATTTATGTACGACGTTATTGTTCATACCGAAACATGATTGAAAGAAGGAGAATCTGCACATATTCCAGGATACACATCATTGTTGCTACCTAGGAAGAGCACTTCGCGTGGTGGTGGCATTGCTTTGTTCTTTAAAAAAAGCATCGATTACCAGTGCATGCCCAACCACTGTATAAGCCAACCAGAATGTGAAGCCATGTTTGTGCATTTGCAATGTGGCGTAATACTCGGAGCTATTTATCGCCCGCCTACCTCTTCTGTAGCAACCTTCATTTCTTAACTATGGAAACTGTCATAGACCCTTTGTCAGCCCACAACCTCCCGCTGCTTATATTTGGTGACTTCAATATCGATCTCCTCAAATGTGAACATCGTGACTACGTATTGATGCTCCAGTCGTATAATCAAGTAAATGTTATCAACGCCCCTACACGAATAAGTGATGACTGTTCATCACTTATAGATCACATAATTTGTGGAACTGATATGAATGTTTTTGCCGGAGTGTATGACGCCAATATTGCTGATCACTGCCCCACTTTTTTGTTTATGCCTAATGCTAATCTCCAACCTTTGTGTCATAATTACCCAAAACGAGTTAGGCAGACAAATTATGCTGTAATACGCAAATTACTTGAGTGTACAGATTTTGAGGTCTTGTACGACACCAATGTTCACACTGAATGGGAAAAGTTTATCTGTCATATAATAGATGTAATTAGCCAATTAACACAAGAATACACAGGCCGCAGACACAAGGAAGCAATATGTCCTTGTGTGACAAGGGACATTCTGAATACTATAAAGAAAAAAGATGCATATTTCACTACATGGAAACAATACAAAACAAATGAATACTACAAAAAGCAGTTTAAATACTTCGGAAACAAGTCAGTCGGAATGCTAAGGAAAGATAAAAAGCAGTATTACAGTGCTAGATTAGTACAACAGAGCGGCGATGTCAAGCAGGTATGGAAGCTAGTGCATGAAGTTACGGGAATAGGCATGAAAAAGTATAATGCTTCTGATAACCCTACAACAAGAACTGCTGATAGCTTCAATACATTTTTTACCAATATTGGTAACAACTATTCATCTCAGTCTCAAGCAGCTTTTCTACATTCTTACGATAAGAAAGTATTTGGTGAAGACTTCCAGCTTACAAGCCTAACCGCTGAGGAAATTCAGTCAGAAATTCTCAAGCTTCCTTGCAATAAAGCCGTCGGGCATGATGGCATCACTGCAAAGGTGCTGAAGGAAAACGCAGACTTTCTTTCGGACCTTCTTTCCCACATCATGAATAACTGCCTTCAAAATGAAACTTACCCAAAGATACTAAAGATCGCGATAGTACCTATCTAC